AAATTAGGATTCAGACCAAATATTTATGGATTATTGTAACCAACAAGACAAATTAAGTCATATATGGATTTAATTATGATAACAGAATTATCCAGGTATAAAAATGTAGCCTTTAAAGCCAAAAATCTGAAAATGTAATTAGTTCATTTTGACCAAATTTGACTTAATCCTCATTTCAATATGATGGGTCACATGTAAGAAAACAACTTGAAATACACATCTTGAAAACCTCACACATCTAAAACATGTAACAAAAATCACAACAATCTTTTTTTCTAATGCATTATATAAAAAGCAGTCATGTATTTCTGATAGTGTGATTGTTTCCACGGAAAAATAATGAAAGTTTGATTGTAGTCCYACCGCATGTTGAAGTGTCGCTTAGAACATCTAAAACAAAACTCTACGAAAGTTGCTCCGTGGAGCATGAATGAGAAAATATTGTTCATCATTTATAGAGTGCAAATAATGAATAGGAAACTCATTGTAAAATATTTTCAATCTGAATAAGATTAGACAAACACATTTATATGTAAACCATTAATTTTACTGTTTTACTATACTTTTGTTTAGATTGAACTGAATGTATTTACTATATTTCTGTGTGGAAAGTCTTTAAAATCTTCTTGATTATTGAATATTGTATTTAAACCATATTTGTGAAATGGATTTTCTGTATACCATACAAATAATTAGATTAACAGAACTAAACTACTTTACAAAAATTCAATTCAGTTTACCTTCACAGTATGAGTTCTCTCTATGGGTGGATGGATGGATGGATGGATGGATGGATGGATGGATGGATGGATGGATGGATGGATGGATGGATGGATGGATGGATGGTACCAGGTTGCTGTCTCAGGAGGAATGAGATGCTGGTGTAGAGCTGTGTAGTCAGAGTTGTCTGAATCTTCATACTAGGAGTGACCTTAAGTGAAACCCTGCACCCCCTTATACCATATGTACCTTAGCTCATCATCATATACTGTACTTTAGCTCACAACCTGCCAAGATCACACTTCCTGTTGTATCACAGAACATATGAAAAGAATGTCAAGTTGAAACCTCTTCTATCTCCTGGCTGCACCAAGAAATTCAGTCCATAAAAGTGAACAGAACTGGTGACAATGGGCAGYTTTTKCAGAGCCTGACTCTTGTCCTGAAGGAGTCTGATTTACAGCAATGTGAATCCAACTCTTCCATAGTTTGTGCAAGATCTAAATGGCCTATTGCAGCAGACCCCCAATCCCATTCTCACCTATAGTGTAGGCTACCTCAGGGATCATGATCAAATACCCGCTCCAAGTCCTGAGAACACATGTAGAWTGGTTGGGCAAAACTCCCATAAMCCCTCAACTTTATAAAGTTTCTATGGAATAAACAAATAATAAAAGTTCCAAAGATTTGTGTATTAATTTAAAACCAATTCTAAATACTAGTGATGGGCTGTTTGAAGCTGAAGATCCAGTGTATGAATCAAAAAACCCCACAGTGTTTCAGAAGCTCTGTTGGAGCTTGATTTGTTTGGTAAAAGTCAGGTGATCTATGATGTCCAACGCTTCCAAAGTGCTAAAGTTACGGCACTGCTTACCTGATTGAGATGAGAGAGTGAATCATCGGCCAGATTCATGGTGTTTTGGTGGCAAATTTGTGCACAATATAAAGAAATMAGTAAATGACATACAAAAAGACATGGAGCCAGACAGTTTTATGTGTTTAGCTCGTTTACCCCAAGAAAAGTTAAAAAAATAAATAAATACTATATGTTCATTATAATCTTCYAGTAAATAAACTGGGTGAATACAAGTCATGAAACCAGAGAACTGGCAGCACAAACATCATTCCAGTTGGGATGTATTTATGATTTTTTAAAATAATCTGTGTTAAGAAGGGACATCATGTCATGGTAGCTTATAAAGGTTTATTCAGCAAAGTTATTTATTAATCAAAGCAACCATTTGTTTCTTTCACTTGCAAAACATACATGTTCAAAGCACCACAATGACAACCTGATATCAGACTCATTTAAACGCCTCTTCCCACATTTGGCCACAAGACTGCGCCAAAGAGAACTCTGTTGGAAAGTTTCAAGTAATGGACTTTTATTCAAAACAAGAACAGCTTAATTTTGCCTGTTAGTACTAAATAGTAATTTAACAAATATGAGTGTGAAACAGAAATAAAGGGAATATTTGGCAATAATATGCATGCCAAAAATATGTTTATGGCTATGTCARATGTATATGTAGCATGATATGTAAGGTGATATGTAATATGTGATGTGTTATTAGCATATGTAAAGTGATATATGTTATGTGTACAGGTGATCACCTATCACCTAACATATTAGTTAGTTAAGTTTATTCAGGGTAGTTCGGGTGGGTGGCTTCCGGTGACTGCATGCAGGTCCTCAGGTGGTCTGTAGCAGCGGTCACAGGTCGCTGACCTGGTGGCCTAGCTGTGCGGTGGTGGGCGAGGGGTGGGCGGGGGAGCTTGGGATTCTGGGGTTGTGTTGCCCCTGGGCTGTGGTCCTGGTGGGGCTGGGGGGCTTGTGCCCTCGCTGGCTGGTTGCTGGGGCTACGGACCGGTTTGTGCTTTGGTTCTGGGCTGGGGGCCTTCGGGGAGCTGGTGGGCTACGGGTCTCATGAGCTGGGGAGTTGGGTTGGCTGGGGGCAAAGCCGCTGGCCCGTGGAGGGGGTAGGTTGACTCAGCCTGGGTGTCAAGTGTTCTGTTTGTTTGGTTAATACAGTAAATATGACAGAAAATACAGTCAGTTCAATCTAAACAAAAGTATAGTAAAACAGTAAAATTAATGGTTTACATATAAATGTGTTTGTCTAATCTTATTCAGATTATTGAAAATATTTTACAATATGTTTYCTATTCATTATTTGCACTCTATAAATGATGAACAATATTTTCTYATTCATGCTCCACRGAGCAACTTTTGTAGAGTTTTGTTTTAGATGTTCTGAGCGACACTTCAACATGCGGTGGGACTACAATCAAACTTTCATTATTTTTCCGTAGAACAATCACACTATCAGAAATACATGATTGCTTTTTATATAATGCATTAGCAAAAGAAGATTGTTGTGATTTTTGTTACATGTTTTAGATGTGTGAGGTTTTCAGGATGTGTATTTCAAGTTGTTTTCTTACATGTGACCCATCATATTGAAATGAGGATTAAGTCAAATTTGGTCAAAATGACCTAATTACATTTTCAGATTCTTGGCTTTAAAGGCTACATTTTCATATCTGGATTATTCTGATATCTTAATCCAGAGATCAGTGGTGGGGATGCCTCGACTGAGGAGCTACAAACATTGGAGGGTCAAGTTGTCAATTATTTTCTGAGTAAAAATATCAAAATAAACTATTCTAACAGAGTTATCTGTCATGCTCTACAACTTAAGGATAAAAAAGCAAAACTTGCAATAATACTCAGATTTGTGAGCAGAAAGCATAAGATTGAACTTCTTGGGCAAGCAAAAGAACATAAAGAACATGAATCTAAATGAACACCTCACTAAGAAGACTGTTGACATTGCAAGACAGGCACATATTTTAAGAAGACAAAACAAGATTCAATCAATATGGACAATAACTTGCGAAATAAAGATTCGGCTGGAAGGGACACCTGAGGAAGCCAAAGTCCTCATGATAAGGGATCTTAAAGATCTGGACCAGTACACATGAAGAACTACAACAGATTGACTGTGGCCACATGGAGCACTTTTAATGGACATTAAAAGAAAACAATCAGCTCACGTGAGGAACACTTCGTTCTTTATTTAATTGACTGGTTGGAGGAGGAATTTAGGTTTTAGAGATATTAAAAAAAACAATCTGCTCACGTGAGGAACACTTCGTTCTTTATTTAATTGACTGGGTGTGAGGAGGACTTTTGGTTCCCATTTAAAGACAGTAAAAATGAAGAGCTTGTTTATTTTTTAAAGGACTTTGATGCTGAACACCAGGCATGAAAACTACATGGGAAATTATGAACTTTAGGACCTTTGATTACAGCGAACATAAATCGTATGACTTTGGGGATCCTATTGATCCAGAAAAATCCCTTCTATAATAATATCAACAGTAACTGTGAGTATTACACCGATGAATAATTTAATATTAGCTTGACAATAGAAGGTGCTTGAAATGTTTGAAATGTTGAAATGTTTTCTATAAAAAGACTTGGTAGAAAAGGAGGAGGAGCTGCTTTATATGTTGATACTGCTCTAACATGCACCACAGGGGAACATGTGTGTGATAACTGTACAAGATATGTTTGAATCAATGTTAAAAACAAAGAAACATTTACCTGACTAGTGTTTATAAAACTCCAGGAACATACATTTAACAATAAATTATCAATTCCATGCAATAAGATTCAGATTGTATGTGGTGATATTAATATTGAGTTATTAAATCTAACCTTTTTTCACAAATTATTTAACGAAGTAGAATAACAGGTACTGCTACTTTAATTGATAACGTATTTGTAAACACAGTTGATATTAAAACAATCTCTGGTCTTATAAATGATAATACTGACCACTTTCCTGTTTTTGTAGATTTTTCACATTTTTTTATAAAACAGACATAAGTAGTGCTCTTTCATACAAAATCAAAACATTTTAAACATAGAAYTGAATGTGCTAAAATAATTATAAGATATGTAAAAACCAATTAACAAATATTATTAAAAACAGCAAAAAGAAGTACTACCAATCTAAGGAGCAGCATAAAAGTAACATCCAGGAAACATGGAGAGTGCTCAAATATTTAATTTAAAAAATGCTTTGCATTCCAATATTTTTTTTAGAAATGATGGAAATATAATATATATTTATAATATATAAAATAATAGATGAGACCAAAGACAGTTCAAATGGATTTAATAAATATTTTGTAAATGTTGGACATGACTTATCAAACAGTATCATGGTGTCTAGTGATAAAGATTGTTCAGATGAAGGTAATATTAACCCAAACATCAGTTGATTTTTATTAGAGGAATTAATGAGAAGGAAATATATGACATCGTGAAAAACCTAAAAAACAAAAAGTCTGCTGATTCAGCTGGAACTGATATGTGGTTTGTAAAAAATACTATAGAATTTGACATTTATTTGTATAATGTCATTTCCAACAGACACATTTCTCATTAAAATAAAAACAGCAACAATCATCCCATTATTTAAAAGTGGGGATAAACATTAATTCTCCAATTTTAGACCCATCTCTCTTCTCGTAATTTTCAAAAATTTTAGGAAAATTATTTTTGCTACAACTTGATAAATTTATAGAAAAGTATTTAATTTTATCTGATTCTCAATATGGGTTTAGAGGTCAGCAACCAGTAGAAGATGTAGCAAATGCATTGTTAATAATAACTGATTATGGTTGATATGATAAACAAGTGAACAAAACTGTTGTTGGCCCTTGTTTAATGAAAGAAAAACCCACAAAGTTCACAGAAATAACTTGAATCTGACAAACGTAATAATAAATAAAAATTCTATAAAAATGAACAAATGATAGTCAGGCAAGGCTTTTCAGCCATGATTCAGCAGAATTATAAAAAAAATAAAACTCATACAACAGGCCTGGGCAGAAATGATTGAACGTTAAATTAATATTTAGTTTAACAACCTTTGAGTCAATCAGTCAATCAAACGGTTCCTGTAACTGTCAGTCAGACGTCTGCCGCTCTCAGCAGGTATTTTGTTCCTCGTCAACAAACTGCTCCAGGTTCTCAGGTTTGAAGGGTTTCCAGTCTTTTCTTTATAAAAGACCACTTCAGAACAGTCCAGTGTTTTCCTCTGAGCCATTCTTGGTGTTTTTAGCTGTTTTGGCTCATTATCCTGTTGAAGACCCCTGAGCTGCAACCGAGACCAATTTTTATTATGACCCCCGCCCACGAAGCGTAAGCGGGAGTCACATTGTTTTCGTACTGTTTATTTATTTATTTTCTCTCCGGAGATATTTGGTCAACCGTAGCACAAAAACAGCTGCACCAATCAACATGAAATTTGCCAGGGCTGTAGATCAGTCTGACCTACACTGCACCAGCCAATGGTTTTACAATAGACCCCATATTTGAGGAGGGGGCTCCTTTCAAATTGGGGGTGTCTGGACATGCAAAAATGCTTTTAACTCAGAAACTGTTCAACATGGAAGCTTCAAATTTCTTTTGTTGTTTACCTCTGATGAAGCTCTATTCATCAGGCCCACCAATCAGTGCCTCCCACCTCCCCGGACCCCCATTTTACCTGAAAAAGGGGGGTCTGGACATGAAAAAATGCTTATAACTTAGAAACTGTTCAGCATAGCAACTTCAGATTTCTTTTGTTGTTTAGCTCTGATGAAGCTCTATCCATCAGGCCCACCAATCAGTGCCCCCCACCCTCCCAGACCCCCAATTTATCTGAAAAAGTGGTATCTGGACATACAAAAATGGTTATTGCTCAAAAACTATTAAGCATAGGTGTCATGAATTTAACCTGTTCTCTGCCAAGTCAAGTCACAGCCAAGCCTTCACTCATTGTCTCACCCCTCCCGTCACAGAAATATCTAATCAGCGTCATGTCACTCACTCACTGTTGCATATGGCATGAGCTTCGTCTTGAGCCACCCTTCTGTCAGAATCCAAAGTATTTTCTGCCTCAAAGGGTTTTCTAGAAAGAACTGCAGCTCTGCTCTGATGATCAAAGTCAAGAAGACCAGGATCCACTTGGACCCTCAGGTTTGGTCTGAAATCTAGACCTGCCCAAAGACTCTGGAGCTGTCAAAACAGAAAAAACACAATAAAACATTCATTTTCCTTCAAGGCAATATAGAAAAGATCCATAACAAGTTCAGTCTGTCAAAAAGTTTATCTGTTGTATAAATGAAGAAAATAAACAGCAAACATAAAAAGTGAATCCAAAGTTGATTTAAATCAGACAGGAGGGTGAATTTCTTCGTCTGTGTTTTCTGCCTCAGCTGCTGCCATGTTGCTGCCAAAAGGCRCCCAACGTGCAGCCGTGCACAGAAATGGTGACACAGACAAATAAAAGCATGTTTTAAAGATGATGGAAGGAATCACTGTTTTGCTTTTGCCAAGATGTAATTGAACCGTTAATCATTTAATCGATGTACATCGATGTATTGTTCGACCCTACTGTAAACACAAACACCTCATGGTCCTCTTGTTGTAAAACAACAAAAATGTTTAAGGAGTTGTAAAGAAAGTCTCAGAAACTGATCATTAGATCTACATCAAGAACTGAATCACTTTTAGAGTCAATACAAGACAACAGGGTCAGGGTTCTGGTCCAGTCTGTCCTGTTTGTTCCTCCTTAACCAGGTTTGTTTCTTTACTCTCATTTAGTAGTAGTAGTTTAATCATTTCATTTGTAATACAAAATTAACAAAGTTCAAAAACACACAATTAAAATGAAAACAAATGAAATGAAAAGCAGCAGAAGAAGAATAAATCTTATATCTGCCCCTTTTTATACCCAAAATATGTTCAAAAGAAAAGTAAAAATACAACAAAAATCAAAACGACTTAAAACACTTAAAATGAATTCAAAACAAAAATTGAGACACCAACTCAAACAACAATTATCATGAATTCACTTATAATTCTCTATTTTTCTTCAGAAAACTAGTTTTTATCATTCTCTTCAATACATACAAGGATTTGGCATTTTAACCTCATCTTCCAGGCTGTTCCATAATCTTATTCCCTGGATTAAAGTGGATCATTCCTTCAGGCTCGTACCAAACCAGGATTTCACAAACATTTCAATTCCTTTAAGATAATAACAGCTCTCTGTTTTAACAAAATTTACCTGAATGTTGGAAAGTAACACACCTTTATGAGCTCTGTACTTTAACAGTAAATATAATCAACAAATCAAATTTATTTTGAAGACAGAGTTTGAACCACATGACATCATTTTCTTGTCTGAACTTGTGTCAGATGTACTGATGAACTGTATTTCCGTTGTGCTTAATGGTGCAATGACAAACCAAACTCTCTCATTGTGATTTTATTATGAGCAGTTAATTGTGTTTGTTGTTGAAGCTTCAGGTGATAACTCTGTTGTGCCTCCAGGGTTTCTGACATCGATCCAGTTGTTGACAGACTGGTGGGTCAGGATCTCACAGCTCAAGGAGTCAGACCTGAAAACTCACTTCAACATTGTGTCTTTGACACAGAGCGACTACCTTTGATTATTAGTTTCTGTTTAATTCAACTGTTTCAACATATTCTGTTCAGGATTTATGAAATCAATTATAAATCTGAAGTAAATGAAAGTTGAGGTTCTTGTGAGAGACCAAGAGGTTCAGAGGAACAGTGCAGGTTGAGGGACTGGGACATAAAGTCAGAGGACAGACAGATGGTTTGGACATGTCCAGAGGAGGGACAGTGGGTATATCAGTAGAAGGATGCAGTTCGAGGACATGGAGGTAGTTGTGTTGAGGACAGAGGACGATGTCTCTGTGGAGACAACATGTCCACTCTGTCCTCTGTTTTAAACAGACCTGCAGTAACGTGTCAGAGAATCAAAGGTTAATGAATCAGTTTTTGAGGTTTCTGTCAGGAGTCCAAACCACATTCTTCTGTAAATAATTATAACCATCACCAGGAGGAGGAGTCAGGATTTTACAATTTACAGTATCCATAAATCAAATGAAAACAGGTTTAAAATGCCAACAGGTGAATGTCAGCAGGTGGGTGGATCAGAATGTCAAACCACAGAGTTACAGTTAAAAACAGGTCCAATTAAATCAAACAAGCTTTTAATTAAAACAACAAACATTTTTTTCTGCTACGTCAATGACTTTCATGGAGTTGTGTTGATCAAAAACTTTATTTTGTTCACATTTCTGTTGATTTAAAGAAGATTTGAACACTTTTGATGAAGTTATTGGGAAGCTGAATAAATCTGGCATTAGAGGATCAGCACTACAGTATCTAATTATGTCAATAACAGGAAACAGTTTGTTCAAATAAATAATTTAAGATCTGAATTATGTAATATTGGTTGTGGAGTTCCTCATGGTTCTGTGCTCGGACCAAAGCTGTTTGTTTTCTACATGAATGACTTGGTTAGTGTGTCGACACTTTTGAAATGTGTTGTGTTTGCAGATGAACCACAATTTTGGTTCAGGTGAAGATACAGAACAGATGTTGGAGATGATACAGGCAGAATTTGTAAAAATACAAACTGAAGTTATGTTTGATTTTGGGTAACACTAAATACATGATATTTGGTAATGAAAGAAAACTAGTGATGTCCCATTTAGCGTTGTTGGTACTGATATTCAGTGAGGAGAAGTTCTTGGATGTCATTATTGATGAAAAGTTGACATAAAAACCTCCAGTTATTTAAAAATAAAAATATAAAAATCTATTGTATTGCTGATAAAGCTCTGTAGTGATAGGAAAAGTGACTCAGTTCTAGATGTTGATCTAATATTCAGTGTATGAGACTTTTTTTTTACAACTCTTTAAACATTTTTTGTTGTTTTACAACAAGAGGAGCTGTCAGGGCAGAAAACATAGATTCTCTCCTGTCAGATTTAAATCAACGGTCTGGAAATACTTTGGACTCCGACAGAAGGTCGTCTCAACAAAGCTCATGCCATATGCAAAACGTGCCAGTGTGCGTTAAAATACTCGAAACACAACAAATTTAACAGTTCACCTAAAGAAGAAACATAGCATTGATAGCCATGTTAGCTCTGCCGGTGTTACCGTTCCAGACACCACGCCAACTTTGACTGGTTTCTTCCCACAACAGCTGAACAACGGTTCAAAAAGAGCAATAAGTATCACAGATGGTATTTCATATTTCATTTGTAAAGATATGAGACCTTACTGCGTTGTTGAAAATGAAGCTTTTGTGAACTACTGCATACTTTGGATCCGAGATATATAATACCATGGAGGCAGCACTTCATTGTAGACAGAGTCACCATCACTACAACTGGTTGGACGTCATACAACCCAAGCAACTGTAACTGTAACCTGTCATCACATTGACAACTGACAAACAAAGAATCACATTCTTCAGACGCAGGTTCTGAGTGACGCTCACACAGGAATGAATCTTGGCACAGTTTTAAAGGACGCATGGGAGGAGTGGAAAATAGCAGACAACAAACCTGTGGTTGTAACAGATAACGCTGGCAACATGACCACAGCAGGAGTAGAGCCAAATCTGTCACCTCATTTTAAAGGCTATAAACTCGACCACACAGAAAGGCCTGAAATGTACTGGTGCCGCACGTGTCCTGGGCAAAGTTAGACGGATCGTGTCATTTTCCCACTGCAGCACAGTGGCAACCTGAAAGAGAAGCAGAAGTTACTCAAACTTCCAGAACACAAACTAAAATCAGACGTGAGAACACGCTGGAACAGTTCTTTTGAAAAGTCACAGCAGTTTGTGGAACAACAAGCTGCAGTGTGTGCTTCACTCCTGGACAAAAATCTGAGGAAAGGTGTAAATGATGTGCAAACACTCAACGAAGGAGATACATGTCATCTATGATTGCACCACTCAAAGCTAAGCTGATGGAGCGTTACAGAATCTTAGAGTCCACTTTAATAAGAGAGATGAAGCAGACGATGACCCAGGAGCAGCAATATGCAAACGTGCACCAAGTCCTGCAGATAGCATGCCTCAAACACAAAGGTTAGGAAGCTGCCAGTGCTTAATGAGGACGAGAGAGGTGCAACTTTCCAGTGTCTAATACACGAGGCTGCAGAGCTGTGGCATAAAATATAAGATATTTGTTTATTTGTGTTTGAAAAACCACAATTCATGAGTTATATATCATTTATTTTATTGTAGTATTATTGACAAGATTTATAATTATTTTATGTGTTAATTATCCACAGAATGGCACAGTGACAAGTTAATGCACCACCTCATTCACCTGTTGACCTCTGATCAACCTGTCCCAGGTTCCTGCCACTGATGGAGGAGGGTTTCCTTTTTGTGGAGAGTTTGATTGAACGTTATGGTTAATTAGCAATAAGGTAATGAGTGTTTGGAGTACAAAAACATATTTAGTGCTCTGAAATATTAACATATTGAAACATTTTCTCCACAGGTTAGCTGGACTCTCCCTTAGAGAGAGGCTGAGAGGTTCAGTTCTCCAGGAGGGACTCAGAGTAGAGCTGCTGCTCCTCCACATCCAGGGGAGCCAGACGGGGTTCGTCTGGTGACGATGCCTCCTTAGGGAGGTGCAGTGTTGTAAAGTACCACTAAGTCGTACTTGAGTAAAAGTACAAGTATCTTATCAAAAACTTACTTTGGTAAAAGTTAAAGTCTCCTTTAGGAATATAACTTGAGTAAAATTCTTAAAGTATGTGATATTTGTTGTAGTTAAGTATTAAAAGTCAAAGTGTAGATTTAAAATGAGCAGTTAGATTTTCTGTAAGGACATTTATTAGGAGGTGACCTCCCCAAAAACTGCAGAAATGACTGTTGTATTAAAAGAATGAATGGATGTTAAATTTAGGATGCACTAGTCCAGCTGTTTCAGTTTATTAACATATATCAAGGCTGCAAATACTTCTTAAGTACAGTCCTTTTATTTGAATGATTCTGTCC